CGGGGCTGCAGAGAGGGGCCAGTGGGCAATGGTGACCCTCACCTGCCCTGTTCTTTCACATCTACCATCTCACTGTAGCCTTTGTGAACTTGGCAAGGCATCAGCCACACATTACAGATGGGAGGACTAAGGCTTAAGACAGAAGTGGTGTTACCACAAGACTGAGCTAGTCAGTGACTAACCTGGGCCTCATACCTTCTAGGAGTGAGGCACTGTGTCAAGGCCCCTGGCTGGGAACTCTGAAGCTGAGGCCCCACCTCCTCCCTCTCTGGGTTTTGGTTCTCAGGCTCAGCCAAGGAGAGTTAGTAGTTGGGGGGGCGGTGGGCTCCTTCCTGCAGAAATCATCCAGAGCCTCGGCCCGCCACCCACCCAGGGCTGTTCCTTCCTTTCTCAGCTGCAGAGCCTGGAGCAGGAGAAAGGGCGCTGGCGGGTGGAGAAGGCCCAGCTGGAGCAGAGCGTGGAGGAGAACAAGGAGCGCATGGAGAAGCTGGAGGGCTACTGGGGCGAGGCTCAGAGCCTGTGCCAGGCTGTGGACGAGCACCTGCGGGAGACCCAGGCCCAGTACCAAGCCCTGGAGCGCAAGTACAGCAAGGCCAAGCGCCTCATCAAGGACTACCAGCAGAAGTATGTGACCAGGGGCCAGGGCTCCCGGGCCCGGGGAGGAGCAAGAGGCCTGGGGTGGCATTTCCTCCCCATCCCAGCCAAGTAGGGAAGCACAGAAGTGGGAGGGCCCCGTGGTGGGGGTGCCTGGGCTTGTAGTGATGGTGCCAGAGCCAACAAGCCAGAGGCTTTGGGAAGCCTGGCCTGAGAACAAGGAGAGGAGCAGAGCTCAGGTGGGGCTGAGGACAAGACAGAGGACTCTGGGCTCTCTGGACGGAATCCAAACCACAGACCCTTACCCGCTGTCTGTCCCCCACTGATCCCCAGGGAGATTGAGTTCCTGAAAAAGGAGACGGCCCAGCGCCGGGTTCTGGAGGAGTCAGAGCTGGCGAGGAAGGAGGAGATGGATAAGCTCCTGGACAAGGTAGGCCCAGAGGTGCCCTGCGGGCAGGAGGGAGCAGCAGGTGAGCCCCACCTCTAGCACCACAAGATCTGTGGATCCTTGAGGGAGAGGGGGGAGTCATGCTGCTGGCTGAGAACTTAGGGTCATATCTCTGTCTTGAGGGCAGAAGGGGCAGGGCCCATGCCCAGTGTCCAGGCCTGACCCTCTCTCTTCTTTGTTTTTTAGATCTCGGAACTGGAAGGAAACCTGCAAACACTGAGGAATTCCAATTCTACTTAACAGGAATCATTCCTTGACCGGACAATATTAATCCCCTCCCATTGTCCTCCCTCCCCTGTCCTCAATACTTCGCCCCGCCCCCTACCAGCCTGGGGACAGGTGCCCCGACTCCCCCCACCCCTCCACCCCACCTTCCCCAGCTTCAGGGACCAGAGGGCTCGTATCACAGGCCCCCTTAAGGTGGCCCAGGCAGACAGGTGGCTGGAAGGATGGCCTCCTTCTTGCCCATGGGGCTGAGGCAGTGAGGCCATGGGATGCCAAGGGCTGGCCTGGGTGGTGGATGGACACAAGGACCTGCAGACCAAACTGCCAGACTTTACAACCTCCAGCCTTTGTCTCTCGACTGCAGCAGGGCTGGGGGCTCTCCCAGCATCTCACCACCTGGAGGCTGCTCTCTACTCATGGGGCTCCTGAGGGGCCCCTGGGCCTCTTGACTTGAGATTCTACCTTCTTAGTCCTTACCCCCTCCCCCATCATTGTGCTGTTCTGTTGCGTTCTGACCTCCTGTCGGGAGAGGTTGCCTCCACACCTTCTCCCAGCTCTGTCCAAACAGGAGGGATAGAATCCACCCAGAGCCTGGAGGCTGGGCCTGGCCCTGCACTGATTTCTCATGTATCCTTTGTGAAAGGGGGAGAGTCCAGGACACCTGATCTCCAGCTCCCCCTTTTACTGGGGCAGCAGCCCTAAATTTCTCCTTGTGCCTCCCCTCCCCCAGGTGCCAAATAGCCATAACCTCCTCCTGGAACGGTTCTGTGGCCTCTTTGGGGTCCAGGTTCCCTGGCCAAGCCTGGGAATGCAAGAGAGGAGAGGAGATCAGCTTAGGGGGCCTGGTTTTAGCCAAGGGGAGCGCTTCTCACTGGAGAGTCAGGCCCTGTCCTGCCCTGTCCAGGGCCACACCTGGAAGCCTTGTACTAACATCAGAGATTCAGCCTCACTCCACCCACACCGCATTGTCCAGTGTTTTGACCGGAGGGCAAAATTTTACTACTCACCTTTTGGAGACCAGGGCTGCTCTGCTGGCAGCCTGCTTTCTAAGTGAAATCGACTCCGTTTCCCCACTTTAACCCCAAATTGGGGCTTGGACCAAGGGAAGTGAGACCCCCCCAGGTCCCCTCCCCTTTCAGAATCCATCTCTCATCTTGCCTCTTTCTCATGGCCCCCTGCCTCAGCCTGGGTTTTTGTTCTTTTTTTAAAAAAACAGACAACCCCTGTCCCATCCGTTTTGGCTTCTCCTCGTCCCCTGTAAATAGACCTTGCCATCGATCAGTATTTCTCAGCAACCCCTTCTTGCCCCCAGACGTGCGCCTAACCCCTGAAAGAGCTGGCTGTCAGTTCCCAGGCCGGGCACTTCACCTCCTCGGCCTCGGCAGATGGAAGGGGCGGGGCCGGTGGGCGGGGCCGCGGGGCGCTTCCGGTTTCCCTAGCCGGGGGCACCGCCCCGCCTTCCGCAGGACTGCGTCTCTGTATATAATATATATATGTATGTATTGTTCCCGGTTTTGTACGGACCATGCCCTCTGTCAGGTCGTCCCCATAAAAGCAGCCCCCAGAGCCTCGCTGCCTGGTTTCTTGACTCGTGTTGGGGGCGGGCAGAGATGCCAGTCTGAGCTCAGGGGTCTCCTGCCACTGCTACATCTGACGCTGAGGATCTTTATAGAGAGCCCCTGTTCCCGAAAACTCCCTCTCTGCCACCATTTACCGCCGCCCCCCCACCCCCCGCATCAGCACCCATGTTTTGTTTTGTTTTTTATTGATTCCTTCTGGGCAAGCCCAGGGTTTCTAGAGTGTTCCTTAGACTCATCACTTTTCTTACAAGGCCTTTAATGGAATTTAGAGGATGGGTTAGATACGGTAAGGTGGGCCCCAGGACCCTCCCCTGAGAAGTCCTTTAACCTGATGGAGGTACCTAGGCCTTTCTCTCACAAGGTACCCTGTATATGGTACTCATAAGGATCAAAGGTTTCCTGGAGGTGGCAGCTGGTGGTAGGAGGTGATAGAGCAGTTTTATCCCAGGGTCCTAGAGAATCCTCTAGGGGTCGCCCGAAAGGCCTTAAGTAGTCATAATCTCCCACTCTGTGCCAGCAGGTCTGGTTGCTAACTCACCAGTTCTAATACCAGTGGGTCTGGGAGTACAGATGCCAGGGTTCCAGGGAAACACTTGAAAGAAGCCCCAGAGAGAGATGAGAGTAGGGGCAGCAGGACCATCCCCCAACACCAGCCTTTCCTTGCTCCAGGTACTGTGTGCTGTGTGAGAGCTGAAGTGCACACAAGGCACTGGTGTTCAGGGGCCTGGCCCCCAAGTGAGTTCCCCAGTCCCCCTTGTCCTAAAGAATGGAAGTCCCAACATTAGGGCCCTTCAGGGTCACCTTGGTGGGTCTCTGACAAACCCGAGATGAGTGGCCTTCACCAGAACACCAGTGACAGTCAGCTCCTGTGGTGGCCACTCCTTTCCGGATGGCTCTGTTACACAAGTCTCATTCATGTCAAGCCAAATTCTGGCTTCTCATAGGTTCCTCTCAAAACCCCTAGTTCTATACCTCAGGGTTGTATAGGACCAGTCCAGACCTGCCACCCACCTGAGACTCACCCGGGAATCTGGAGATGGTGGCCATGTCTCTCAAGGCATTTTCTTTTACAAGTGGATGGTCCTTCCTTGGAACAATTTTGGGAAGACAGCCAAGCGGCCAAATCCCAGGATCAGAAACCACCAAACCACAAGGTCACAGGTCATGTCTACAGAGTTAGAGGTGACTTAGACCCTACACAGGCACCCTAGCCAAGAAGTCCCAAGAAGTGAAGTGGCTGAACCTTCCTGGATGGGGAGGCAGACATGGGAGTCTGCTAATATCACTGGGGCTAAGTATCCAGGATGGGGTCCTAACCTCATCTGGCCTATGTATTGGGCCATTCTATGTTCCAAAAGATGGAACCCTTTTGGAAAGTAGCCCCCCCATATCTAAGCCTGAGTGGTGTGGGGCTGGAGATGTGTAGCTTTGTTGCGAGTTTTTCAGGCCTGAGATGTGACTCACTCGTGAAATATGTCCATGTTTGGGGCTGTGACAAGCGGCCATGGGCAAGCCTGTGTGAGGCGTTACCCCAGCCCTGCCCTGCAACCTCCCCAGTTCTTAGGAGCCTGAGTGGGTTTGCCAGAGCCCCAGCACTTGCCAGAGGGGAGGGAAATCAGATGAAGGTTTCTCAACTCCCAGAAGCTTGGGCATCATTAGGAACACAGGGGGTCCTCCTGGATTCTGTGGCCTACAGACACCCTCCCACAGAAACCGCCCCAGCACTGGTGCTACATACACATCATCTCCCCACTCCCTACAGGGGCCAAACAATCAACACCCCCACTCCAGCCTACCACCCAGATCTCAGCAAATGCCTGCAAACTGTGTCCGCTTTAAAGACCCCAGACACAGCCCCAATAAGACCTCCAGAGTCACCACTCTCCTCCCCCGATCTCCACAATCTAGCCAGCAACCCATGGCTGCCAGCAGATTCTGAAGGCAGCCAGAGAGGCCAGAACTCACACACGTCTCCTTAGATACCTGAGCACCTAAAGGTTATGAGCTCTGCCCTCATCCATGGTCCCAAGACCATCCTGGTTCAACATGCCACCTCCCACAGCTCTTCCTGGGCCTCAGAGACTCTGGCAGGCCATCAAGGAACTCTGTCCCTACAGACTGCATGCCTCTCCCTTGAGCTCTGGACACCCCCTTACCCCACCTCACCACTCACTCTTGAACAAAGGGGGTAATAGAAACACCTACCTCATGGGTTTATCATGAGGGCAACATTAATAATCTGAGAAAGTGCTTAGTGCAGTGCCTAACCAGTGCACCTCCCGAACCAGCTCAGTATAGTAGCTAGTGTTGATTATTACATTATCTTCCCAGGCTGGCCTGCCACCACCTCCAGTTCACCAAGTCCAAGTCTGACCTCATCCCCCCACCGCCTCTCCATCTCCAGGGCATCAGGCCAAGACCTGCAGCCATTTAGTCCCCTCCTCCCGCAGTGGCCAGCCAGTCCCCAGATCCTGTCAATTTCTCCAGTTCTACATCCTGAGTAGTTCTTATTGTGATCATAGATCTTCATCCCCCCACCCCCACCCCCACCCCCTCTCAACAGCCTCCTGAGGGATGCCCCAGCCTTCAAGCTGCCTTCTCCAAGGAGCCCAGGGGTTTGTCCTAAAATGCGAATCTGAGCCCCTCCCTCATCTGTTACTTTTCTCCCTATGGCTGGTAGGATAAAGTGCAAGCCCTGCCTTCACCACTACCCCGCTTCTGACACATCCATCCCCTAACTCTCCTGCACCCCGCACCCCCAGCCAAGCCCCACTAGCACATCTGCCCTCCCTGGCCTGAAGAAGTAGCCAGCACATCACCTCCTCCAGGACTCCTCCCGGATCACTTACACACACACACACACACACACACACACACACACACTGCCCTCCCAGCCCGGAGACTGGGTGCCCTCCAGTGTGCTCTCCCAGGGCTGAAGTGTCCTCTGTGAACCAGGGCTTACAGCACCCGGGCTCCTTAGGGCCCCCGGACTTGTCCATCCACCCTGACAATGCCACAAGCCCCGAGGGCCTACACCGGATGGGTCCTGTTCCCCTTGGTTCCCTTGGGCCTCGGCACACCCGACTGCTCTGTTGACTGCTTGAATCAGGAACCCTCACAGATCTTGCAGAGGAGGCAGAAGCCCCGTGAGTCTTAAGATGGGGCCACCTCTCTGGCTGCTCTCACCTGCCCGACTGCCACCGGCTGGCCGAGGAGTAGCGGCAGCTAGAATCCTCTCGCCCGGCCTCGGCGCGGGGCCGCCTCCCCCCTCCCCTGTACTCCCGCCGCCTCCGCCCCTCCCTCCCTCCCGTTCTTTGTCTCCCGGGCGCCTGGCCTCCCCGCCACGCGCCCCCGCATCGCCCCTTCCCCGGTGAACCCAGCGGATCCCCGCGGATACGACGCTACGAGTATCCGCCTGCCAGGCGGGGGACCCCGCGTCCGGCTGGGCCTGGCGAGCGGGCGGGGCGGTCGTTCCTCTCTCTCTCTCTCACTCACACACGCACGGAGCATCCTCCCGTTAGGTCTCCTGGTCCAGCCCCGCCCGCCGCACCTCCTGCTTCCTGCAAACCTTCTCCTTCTCTCTCCGAACTCCACTCCCCCCACATACCCTCCGACTCCAAGACCCCCCTCGCCGACCCCTACCCCTACTCCCGGGATGGAGTGGATGGAGCCAGCCCAGAGCCCCCCGCGGCCGGGGTGACAGTCCTTCACCCATCTCCCGCCTGGCCTCCGCCCCCAGCACCATGGGCCTGAGGGGTTCCCGAGACGCCGGACGCTGAAGATGACAGATGCTGGAGGTGAGAGGCCGAGACCCCAAGGACCCCGAGGTGGATAGGGAAGAGGAGCTGGGGATCACTTGGGCTCGCGGTGGGACCCGGAGTGGGATTGGATGGGGAGAAGCGACAAGGGCCTTTCTTTCCCTATCCCTAGGGGGGGCCGCCTGGAGCTGGGGTGCTGGGCTGTCAGGGGACGGGATGGAGATAGGATTTGTGTCCCTAATCCTCTCCCTCTGCCCGCTGCCCGGAGAAATTAAATTAAAAAAAAAAAAAACTGGTGTTGGGGGAGGGGGAGAGCTTAACTCCATCTTGTCTGGTGCAGAGTTGGACTGATGGATTGGACGGAAACTAGCCACTTGGCTCTGATTGAGGGACAGGGGCCCTGGGAGTGCAGAATGTGCCCTGTCCTCCACCCCACCCCATTTCCAGCGGTGCTTGGAGGAGGATCCGACTCTTGCCAGATGCCCCCAGCCTGGGCCTTACGGGAGGGAATCACCACTTTCTCTAGCTCCACACTGCCTCGCCTACTGCCTCCTCTGCTGTCCATCCCTCCCTGGGCTTTCCTTTCGCAGTTGCACTTCTCTCCTGGACTCGGTCTCTTCCAGGGCCCCTTTCCTCTTTCCTGCCCCTCCAGGGGCCGCCCCTGTCCTGGCAGGCAGGCAGCCGGTGCCGTCTTCTCCACCTCTCCCTTGGGCCTCACTCAGGGCTGCTGGAGCCCTGTCTCTACTGCTGTGTCCCCTGGCCCCACAGCTCCAGGCTCTTCTCTTGCTCTTTCTTCCTCCTCTCTGCAGCTCTGAGAATGGACTCTCCACCAACCTGTCTCTGACCTGCTCCCCACTCCCTCTCCAGGGTTTGTGCCCCCTTTCTTTCTCCTTCTCCTTCCCCGGATCCCAGGAGTTCACCTGCCTCCCTTTCTCCCACAGAAGGGTCAAAGGTTGTTGGTGTTCCATCTCCTCCTCTGGGAATGAGGAAGTTTTGGGAGGAAGGAGTGGCCTGGTAGAGTCAGAGCCCAGACTGTGTCCAGAAAATAGGTTCATTTCCACCTTGCAGCAGTTACCTGCTTTGAATGTGTGTGGATGAGTGTGTGTGTGGGGGGGGAGCGGGGATGGGTAGTGTTGTAGGAGTGTAAATGAGGGTTGTTTAATTTTCCAAGATGCAGTTTTGGAAGAAGGAGGGGTTGGGTGGGAAGGGCCTGGTGACCTCCTGATGTGATGCTTCCCAGAGTTTCCCATGGGACAGTGTAGGGAGGGCCCCCCATACACAGCCCAGGGAGTTAGTTGTTGAAGGGAGAGAAAGAAAGATTCAATTTGTGCTGACTCAGGATGGATTGGGCGCTGGTGTGAGTTAGAAGCTCCAGCTCACCCCGGAGGATAACTGAAAGAGGACTACATCCACAAGAGAATCTCTACCCTAGACTAGGACCTTGAATAAAGAACACAAGGGCTCTCCATTCTCTCGTCAGTCGACTAAGAGAGGAAGCACTGCTACTGCCCTGGGGGAGACTCCCTTCTGATGGGAGAGGCATTTCTTGTCATCAGGGAGTCCCTAGTCTGATGGGGATACTGGTCCCTCTCCTGGAGTTCTCATCTCATGTGGGGGAGATATGACCTAGCTAGGGAATCAATGAAATAGGAAAAATTACTCATTTCCTAGTGGTGGGGGAGGGTGGATTTAGAAATTATGTAGACAAATAAGAGGAAGGAGAGCCATCTAGGACAGTCTTCTGGAGGAGTTGGAAGCTGGATCCTGATCAGATGAGGCTTTGCGATTGAATGAGGGAATTTGGTTCGTTCTTAGGGGTAGCCTGTCTTTCCACTGTCCTCTTCAGGACAGGAAGAGAGATTCTAGAACTTCTTTGTTACTAGCACCCAGAGTTCAAGAATGGTAGGAGAGTTCTTGGAGGGCCCATATCCCTGGCTCCTTCATGCACCTCATTTCCTGCTTCCAGCCTGGGGTGGGGGTAGTTTTGGAGCTTATCCAGTCCTAGCAAGTATGGAGCCGCTCCCCTCCCTTGACCCCTGGTCCCTTCTTCTAGGAATGTCCTTTCTAATGAGCAGCCTTCAGGACTGCAGATCACCACCCAGGATAGAGCTGACAGGCAGGAGACTGGGGTCAAGGTTGAGTTCTGCCTCTTATCTCCTGCATCTCAGTTTTCCCTATCTGTAAAGTGGGGATACAAAGAATGCCAAGCCTGGCCAACTCACAATGAGATGACATCTGTGTAATAACAGAAGAGGAGAGTTGGAAAAGAACCCAGCAGGCATGTGGCCTAGCTTCCCTATAACTGTCAAGGGTATGGCCCCGTCCAGTGCCCTGCCCTTCTTATGGGGACCTAAGTGTTAGAAGTAATTGGAGAGGGGGAGGTTATAGCTCAGTGGTAGAGCACATGCTTAGCAGGCATGAAGACAATCCCCAGTACCTCCGTTAAAAAAAAAAGAAGTAATTAGAGATCATGTCCCATCCTTGCAGTGTGCCCCTCTAACCCCCAGGCCTTGGTTTAAGGATGCTGCAATCCTACATCTGCTAGGAAGTCTGCCCGAATTGTTTCAGCTACATCTATCCTGCTTCTCCACCTGCCCTTCCTTTCTTGTTTCCCACAAACAAAACAAAACAAACCCCCTACCCATCCATACGTCTTCTCAGAACAAATTTGACGCATCACAGAGATTTGGCTGTCCACTGTTCTACTGTGAGTACTTCTCATACCCTTCTGCATCTGCGAGTCTGTCGAGAACTGTGAGAACTGTGAGAACTGTGAGAACTGTGGGTTTGTCAAGAAAACAGTGGCCCTGCTGATGATGCCAGCTTCCTGAACAGCTCATGTTCAGGAAGGCAGGTGGTGAGCACACCAGTGATGGGAGTTGGGGGAGGCAGGACTGGGTGATGGATGGGAAGATGGATGGATGGATGGTATAAACTGATGGATGTAAAAATGGGTGGATGGTTGGGTGCGGCTGGGTGTTGACTGGATGGGTGGTTGGAAAGATAGATGGTTGGCTGGATGGATGATGAATGGGCGAATGAATGGATGGGTGAATGGCCAAGTAGATGCATGGATAAGGAGGGAGGGAGATAGATGAGCAGATGGAAGAGACTGGGTTCTGATTCAGATTTTACCATTAACTTGTTATGTGATCTTATGTCAGTCATTCTCTCATCTGCTTCTTTATTTATAAAATGAGAAGATTGGATTTAATCATCTCCAAGTTTTCTCCCAAATTTGATGTTGGACAATTTATGATGATTAAAAGTTTTAGGGAATGTTAATGATGGAAAGGCCCAAGACAGTGAAGGGGGAAGTTCCATGACCCATGTGGAGCAAATCAGCTTGAACCTGGACCACAGGACTCAGCCTGTGTCTACACCCTGGACTTGCTTCTGCCCCTACCCTTCTGCTGCTGCCTCCTGCCCCAACCCCACATCAGCGGTATGGTCCAGATGACTTCTCTTCCAGGGGCCAGAGGGAGAGTTGTAAGGGAAGATGAGAGGCCAGAAGGCCCAGAGCTGGTGGTCATCGGCACCTCCCTTGCCTCCCTCCACCAAATGGAACCTCTTATCCAGGTCTTTTTCTCTCTTCCCTTGTCCTCTTCAGCTCTCTTGAGTCATGGCTTCTTCAAAGCTCCGAGAACCTGCGGATGAGGTTTTTGGTAAGTTCAGTTTGGCTCTATCTTTAGCCAAGGCTATTGGGCATTGGGAGGGAGGAGCCCCTTGGAGTCTTCTGTGTGTGTATGTGTGTGTGTGTGTGTGTGTGTGTGTGTGTGTGTGTATTGTGGCCTTCTTTGTCACCACTGTCTGAGTGATATCCAACTACAACAATAATAATAAGGGTGCCCATTATCAAGTGCCTGTCTCAGGCCAGCTACCAGGCTAGCACCCCCTTCTCACATGTGCTGCATTATTTAACCCTCACAATACTGCTAAGAAGTGTGCCCATTTTGCAGACAGTGAGCCTAGGACACAGAGTGTGGAAATGACTTTGCTTTAAAGGTTACAGGGCAGGTTAATGGCAGAGCGAGGACTAGAAATCCCAACTGCCTACCTCCCTGCTCACAGTCACTGTGGTGCACACCTGGATCCCCTAGCACAGCTGACACACATTACCTCCAAGTCACATAAATAAGGGAACTTACCTTGCAGTGATGAGCGTGCAAGAAAATAAAAAATGCATAACACACACTCAGCGTCAGCACCCCTAGGCTGACCCTCTGTACACACTGGGGTGCATGGACACACCTCCTGCACCATCACTTACCCGCTGCAGTCTTTCTGTTGTGTGGACTAGAGAAAGACCACTGATGGGGCAGAGTTCCCAGCATGCACTGGGGTGGAAAGGCTGTTTCCTGGCTGGATTTGGTGGAGGAGTCAGTGGGCAAAAGAATAGGGAGGAACATGAGGGAGAGGTGGAGACAGAAAGCTGGTACTGTGTGTGCAGGCTTTAGAACTCAACCGGGAGGGGCTCCTATGTGCCGAATGCCATGGGGCCCCCAGCTTCTTCTCCCCAGCCTTCTCATCTCCACCTTCCTTACCCTCTCCTCCTCCCCCTTCCCTGCTCACCCCATTCTCCCTTGTGACAGCCACAAGCCCTGGCAATGCCTGGAACTGTGGCCTCCCCCTCCCGGCTCCTGGGGAACGCTGCTTTCCCTGGCCTCCCTGGGGCCTGTGGAGTGAAGGGTTTGCCTTGGGGACTCCCCCAGCCTTGAACTGCCTCTGGGCCTCAGATGCTGAGTCTCTCCAACCCCATCCAGGCCCAGCCTGACCCCTGGCCTGACAGAGGTGAGCTACCCCATCCTTGGGCTTTTCAGCTTCCAATCCCCTCACCCAACACCCCAAACCTTCCTGTTTTCCTTCTCCTGGACCTGCTGAGGTAGCAGCTCGCCTGGCCTGCTTCCTGAAGAGAAAGACAATTAAATATTCATGGCTCCCCACTGCCCAGGGCCGGGCTAACTCCCAGTGGGAAAGAGAGATGGGAGAGAGATGGAGGGAGAGAGGGATGGAAGGAGGTGAGGGGGGCCCAGTAGAGCAAGGGACTGGAGGAGAGGCTGGCCCCACTTTGCATGAAAATCCCCCAAGCCACTTAGGAGTCCCTTTGCTCCCTAGCCCCTCAAGGTAAGACCATGGTCTTGATGTAGCCCAGATCCAGGTGCAAAGGGCCCTTCCCCCTGGCCCCAGTGGCTGGGCACCAGCCCGGTGCTGGACGGGTAGAGGGTGCCCATCAGTTCACCCTCCGCCGCGCCCCCCTGAGCAGCGAGAGCTCTGGCCAGGAGACCTGCCTGCTGTCCTTGAGTCCCTTTGAACTCTGGGCCAAACTTCCCTTTCTGAGCCTCAGTTTCCCCATCTGTAAAATAAGAGTTTGGACTCACATGTCACTCCCACCTCTGCCTCAGAGGCAGTAGAGCGAGCTTGGTTAGTTACACACCAAGTCTCGGAGCCAGACTCCCTATAACCCTGGCCTGCTCTTCATAGACCTTCAGGGAAATTCAGGCTGCCCTGGGGATTCCCAGGGTCTCTTCCTCCTTGGGTTGGGGGTAGTTTTCAATGAAATAGTAGTTGTAAAGCATTTATAACACTCATGCACACACAGTCTCTTTCACACACACACTATTTGATGCCTATGTTAGAGCAATGAACAAAATAGACAAAACTCTGCCTTCCTGTAGCTGACATTCTAATGGATGGAGAGAGACAATAAATTAAATAAGTAAAATAAATGGTATGCTAGAGAATGATAAATGATACAGGAAAAAATTAGCAGTGGGGGTTCTGGGGGTATTTAAATTGAGGGGTCAGGGGAGTCCTTGATGAGAGGAAGCCTTTAAGCAAAGACTTGAAGGAGGTGAGAGAGAGAACCATGCAGAATTCTGTGCCAAGGGCCTTGCAGGAAATGCAAAGGGCCTGAGGCGCAGGATGGGCTTGTGTGAAGAGCCTGGAAGCCAGGGTAGCTGGAGTGGAGGAAGCAAGATGAGGAGAGTCGGGGAGAGTCACCGAGCAGCCTGAGTCTGGAGGCTTCTTGCTCTGTGTGAGATGGAAGTCACTGGAGGGTTCTGAGCAGAGGAGTGACACAAGCTGCCATGTTTTATCAGGATCACTCTGGCTGCTGTGTTGAAAATAGACTGTAAATGGGAAAGGGAGGCAGAGGGAAGACTCACTGGGAGGATTTGTAATAATCGAGGCAAGAGGTGATGGTGACCTAGACCAGGGGTGCTGTGAGTTCTCCCTCTCCCCTCCCTTCCTCTTTCTCCCCACATGTATGCATGTATGTAAGTGTGTGTACACAGACACCTGTAAACAGTGTTTTATTGTGGGAAATCAAAAGCAGAGAGACTAGCACAATGTACTCAATCATACGCCCATGTACTCATCACCCAACCTCAACAATCGTCAACTCATGGATAGTCTCATTTCATCTATATCCCCTTCCTAGTCTTCTGGATTATTTTGAACCTAATCCAAAACATCGTGTCATTTCACCATAAATATTTCAGTATGTCTAGATATATTTCCACAGTAGAACTAACAGGAATTGTGGGTGGATCAGTTTGTAGGGTGGGAGGGGAGGGGAGGAGTCAAGGGTGACTTCAGGGGTCTGACCTGAGCAGCTGGAAGGATGGAGCTGCCATTCACTGAGAGGGGCAGACTGGGAAGAGCAGCTTGGGGAGTGCAGAGGTCCAATTTTTACATCTGGGTTGAAGATGCCAATTGGACATCCAAGTAGGGGTGTCACATAGGCAGATGGATGCATGAATTACCAACCGGGTCTGGTCTGAGGGAAAGGTAGCTCAGAGCTGTCTGAGAGGGATGACTGGGTGGACAGGGGCCTTTCACTGAGCCAGGGGATGGAGAATCCATTTGAGGTAAGTTGGTGGGTTTGTTTGATAGGCTGAGTTTGCGGTGCCTGGGTGCTTTTGACATGGCAAGTTCCCTGGCAGGTGCTGAGGTGCCCAGGCTTGGAGTTCAGGGGAGGGATCAGGCTGGAAATAGACATGGGTGGTAGTCCAGCCACTGGGATGGCTTAGAGGGTGTCTGCAGACAAGAGAAAGAGGAGCAGGCAAAGCAGGGCGGGCATGACTTTTGGGGTGGCGTCCCTGAGATCATGGTGGACAGAGTGGTGAAGAAAGGTCTCAACCCATGCTAAGGTCTGGGAAGAAACCTTTCTGCCTGGAGGCTCCCAGTGGCAAGCTCAGGGACACTGCAAAGCGAAGGCTGAGTTCTCAGGTGGAGCAAATGACTCTATAGGGTTTAGGCATGATCCGTTAGGTTTGCATATTCTTCCTCCCTGTCCTCATCCAGGACCTAGCCCTGGGCCACGGAACCCAGGGTGGGAGAGACAGGCTTCGGGGTCTGTGGGCTTTCCTCTCTGCTGCTGCCACTGGCTTGTGGGGGGGGGTCCCTCTGCTCCAGTTCAACCGTGAGCACTCTAGATGCTCAGCAGTGCTGTCTCAGTGCGACCGTGAAGCTAGACTAGCCAGGCTCAAATCCTGGACCACTGCTCTCTGACCCTCAGTTTGCTCCACTGTAAAATGTGTGTAATAGCTGTCCCTAGTCCAGGGGCTGTTTTGAGTAGACGAGGTGATGTATGTACATTCTGGTGTGTACTTGACACTTCTTCACCAGTAGCCATGATGACCGTGCTCTCTCAGGTCTCATTCTCCTGTTCTTCCCTCCACAAACCTGCCCTCCCATTGCCCTGGAGGTGCCCCGCCCCTGCCCCCAGCCTCCCTACTTCCCAGCATGTCATGTACCAGTCTTGCCAACCTCTTCTTATAAACTCCCGTCCAGACCTTAAGACCCAGTTTTGGTGGTTCTTCCTTCAACTCATCCAAACAGAGCCGCCCTGTCCTCCTCTGTGCCTATGAGAGGTTCCATCACGCTGCTGTGTATATGAGCAGACGTGTCCAGCTCCCCAGGAGACTGTTAGAGACCTGGTTTTCCATCTCATCTGTACTCCCAGTGCCCAGCACTCAGAGACATTTGTTGAATGTCTGGGTGTGAGTGCAGGTGGCCTTTGAGGTGGGCCTCTGGGCTTGCTGTCCTCATGTGTCTGGTCTCTGCCCCACTCCCCCGGTTTGCAGACCTGGACTTGGCTGTACCAGAGACCGTCAGACTGGACAGCAGTTTACACAAGGCCCGGGCCCAACTACTGGCCAAGGGCCGGAGACACCGGCCCTCCCGCTCGAGGCTTCGGGACAGTGCCAGCTCTGCAGAGGATGGTGAAGGCTCCGATGGGCCCGGAGGCAAGGTTGGGGCAATCCACTCACATCCACATACCCCACCCACCCTTCTTGCCCCTGGATAATCCCTTCAAACCACTATTCCGGGGAAACCACACCCCCAGACTTCCGACATAATAAGGCTAAAAAATGTTAGCTGCAGTTCACTTCTGGCTAATTTCATCTTCTCAAGGAAGGTATTATCCCCCATCTTCCAGATGAGGAAACTGAGGCTCTGAGAGGTTCACTAACAAAGTCACACAGTTAGTAAGTGAAGGAGGCGGGATCCAAGAAGAAACCCTCCCTCCAGGCCCCAGAAGGACCTAGGAGTCCCGGCTCCCCTCGGGGGAAAGGGGAGGAGGGTTGGCGGTGAGCAGCTGCCCCTCGCCCAGGTGACCGACGGCTGCGGGAGCCCTCTGCACCGGCTGCGCTCGCCTTTGCATTCGAGCCCAGGGTCCCCGGCCGGGGGCTCCTTCTGTCTGGAGCCTCCCGGGTTGCGGCGCAGCCTGGACGAGGACGAGCCGCCCTCGCCGCGCACACGCTACCGGCCCCTGCACAACGCCGCCTC